CCCAGGACTTCAGTGTGCAACACCTCGGTGCCCTCCAGCCTCCACTGCAGTGGGCAACTGCCCTCTAGCCCTTTCCCCTCCCCTCTGGTAACCACAGTCCTGTTGTCAGAATCCAAGCGTTGGCTTTTGGTTTGTTTGCCTGCTTTGTTTCTTGAGACAGCATCTGGCATTTGTCTTTCTCCTGCTGATTTATTTCATTTAGCATGATTCCCCTCCAGCTCCATCCATGTGCAAATGGCATGATTTCATCTTTTGTGTTTATAGCTGCGTGTTTCCCCCGCCATGCGTGGAGACACCACCCCCCACACCCCCCACACCCCCCCTTTAGCCAATCCACCTTGAACTGGGCTTGTTGTTTCTTGCAGCTGAAATCTTACAGACCCTGAGACCTCAGGCCAGGCTGGTGGAGCCAACGCCTCTTCTGGGTATGGGAAGGTGAGAGGAGGGATCAGCCAGCCTCAGGCAGTGGATTTTTCGAATGACTCCCTGATAAAGCCATCTAGCTGTCCTCAAAGAGTAGAGCAGGAAACTATGAGAAAGAAGCTTGCTTTTCTGAGAATCCTGGGGAACTAAGATCGAGTGGATAAAGTTGCCATAGAATAAAGTAGACCAAAGTTGGGCAGGCCTTGTTCTCCCTCCTTCCCCCTCCTCCCTGGGCTATCTCAGAGATGGCACTGCCCCACATGGGCAAGGAGTGAGTGGGTGGCTCCCTCCTCGGTCCCCACGGGCCCCACCAGCAGCCCTCTCACTGCTACCTGGACTGGTGCAGTGGGCCGCTCTGCCTGCAACGCAAGCTGGCTCCTTTTTTTGCTAAGTTAAAGGTTTCTAGACTCATCCTTTTACCTGCCTGACCTTATAATCCCGGTATTGGCCTTAAGAAATCACAGCTACACACAGACTTAAGTAGATGGGCTCAGTTCTGAGTGTTTTCCATGCATCGGCCCCTTTGACCCAGGCCACAGCCCTTTGAGGGACACTTCTGTCCCCATTTTACAGATGAGGACATTGAGGCACCCTTCCTCTACAGATTGTCCTGGTGTTATGTCTGTGCTGGTGGAAGTGTGCATATCATTAGGCTGCAGCTGCCCTTTTCCCTCCCTGCTCTGCTACTGGTGGGAGGAGTTGAGGGGGGTGTTGCTAGCTTAGCACAATCTCTAGCTCTAGGAGGCCTCAATCCTCCCCACCCCCTTACCCCTTGCAAGCCAGCCCTGGGCGCTCCCTTCCCACCCTGACCGGATGACCTCCTTCTCCAGTTCTCCCCATCCCAACTCAGGCCCCCCTTTCCAGCCCTCCCCTCAGGGAGTCGCTGCCTCATCATCTTGGCTGGCCCAGCAGGACCAAACCATGTGTGATTCGTCCTTTCAAACAGCCCGGCTTCCTGCAGGGCTGAGAGCCAGGAGGCCCCACGAGGCAGCAAAGGCCCAGCCATGTGAGCCCCCCTTCCCCTCCCACCGCCCCAGGCCCCGCTGACTCAGAGCCTGGCAGCTGCTCTCACCACCCCCTCCCAGCGGTGTGTGCCTTGCCGGTACAGGCTGGGTGGGGCAAAGCAGCCCTAGGCACCGCTTGGCACCCACACAAAGTCCTGTGTGGGTTGGGTGGGAATGCTTCTTGCCATCTGTCCCATAACCAACTGTCTTCTTGGAACAATAGATTGAATAACTTCACATCGTCCGCCATTCTCTCAAGGCGTGATTTTCAAGCAACAGCTCTATTATTACTCAACTTCCCTCTCCTGATTGTTTCCAGATTTCACATGACTATGCCTCCCCCTTGTCTAAACATCCTTTTTTTCTACACCACTGACAGTTTTACTGCCTCTGGAAAGTAGGGTGCCTTGTGTTCAATTCTAAGGATAAAGACTTTAGAAATCATGAGTTTTCTAGGTGGTTGTGAGCTGTTGTCAGTGGATGAACTCAAGCCTGTGACAGCCAGAAAACTCCAAAGAATCACTTGAAGATCCTGACTTGAGAATGAATCCAGAATTTCAATGTAAGAGTCAGGAAACGGGCTGGATCTGTAATGCTCGAACCCCCATTTATGCCACATCCCAGCCAGAAGCCAGCCCTTGACAGTGATGGGAATTCTTCTCTACAGCCAGCAATGAGATGTTCAGAGAAATTCAAGTTTACTGATTTCGATAACAATAGGGGGCCACAGCCACAGAACTTTCAGGCACTGCTGGTGGGACAGTTCTGGAGGTCCAGGTGGAGGACCCTAGAGCTGGCTGGCGTGGGCCCACCCCTGGGGAGACTCCCAGTGTCATCTGCTCGAATTCCACGTAAATTATGGAGAAGATGAGTGTGTCTTATCTTGATCGTAGTGTCAAAATTCACAGACCTGAATACGCAGAAGAGTGAGTTTTACTGCCTATAAGTGATGGTTTAAAAAACAATAAACCAGAAAAAAAAGAGTAATATTGCCTCTTAGGAGTATACGGTATAATGGAATACTGTACACAGGAGCGGACAGAAGTAAACAGCTAAATGAAACATGGGTGGTCTCTAAATATTATGCTCACTGAAAGAAGCCAGATGCCAAAGAGACAACCTGATTTCATGTGAATGAAGCTCCAGAACAGACAAGACTAATCTGCCTCAACTGAGGTCGAGGGAAGGGTGACCCCTGGAGTGTGGGTCCCCCAAAAGAACGTGGAGGAACCTCCTGAGGAAACCTGAGTCTTGAGTATTCCTCTGCTTAGGATTGTGCCCTTGATGAAACGTTGATTATTTCTCAAATTAAAAAGAATATTGTTTTTTAAAAAGACTTATGTTTGCTAGAAGAACTGGGGTGCAGGCCAGCGGTGTGTGTGGGGTGAGAGGACCCACCAGAGACAGAGTGGGGAGCAGAGACTCACTGAAATACACTGCCCGGGAAGCAGCAGGGGAGACAAGGAGGTCTGCTGCACCCCGCGGGCCAGCTCCCTGGCCGGGGATTGAATCAGGCCGTCGAGGCGGGCCATGGTGGTGACAGCACCACGAGCCCTCGGCCACCAGAGAGGCCGGTAAACGCTATTTTTTTGGTTGTCATTGCACGTTACCTGGTAGGTATCATGGATGATGCCCAGTGGGTACAGTTGCTTCCTCTAACCCTGTATGGTGCCCGCTAACTTGACCAGCTTGGCAGAGGCTGGTTCCCTGCCCTAGGAAACCCACGCAGCTCGTTAACCACATGAACTGGCCCCACACGCTGGGCCCAGGCTGGAATTCCTGCCCCGCCCTGCTTAACCAAGCAACCTTTGGAACTGGCTGGCAGCCCAGGGTTTTAAACCACTCCTCTTTGTGAGTGTTCAGGAAGAAAGTCATAACTTCTCTTGCAGGGGCGGAGGAGGGGGGCTGTGCTGGGCTCATCTGTCTTATTCCTAGACACCCCGGGTCAGAGGGGTCCTGGCCTGTGTGGGGCCATGAATCCCACACCTCCCTAGGCCAGATGTCAGCATTCAGGGAGCGCTGTCTCCTGGCTTGACCAAGAACCACCCACTCCAGGCCCCTCAACCTCCACCCCTGCCTTCCTGAAAAATGAGCAGAATACCAACCTTAGGAGACAATATGGGGAAAAGAAACATGGTCCCGACTGAGCGTCCCTGACTGCAACTGTAACTCTGGGGGGGTCCTGAAGGGGACAGATGCGTCAGCACCTGGTGACACCTGGCACCAGGTGTCACCTCCCAGCGGCTGGCTCTTCCTCCCCAGCGGCTGGCTCCAAATTGAAGAGTGGGATGAAGATGCTCAGGCAGCCTAACCGCCAACCCTGCTGCTCAGGGACCAAGGCAGGAGGCAGGAGTGGAGAGCCCTAGGCGGCTGGAGCGCCTGCTGGGTATCTGCTGTGTGCCCTGGGGCCAGTGAGCGCCCTCCCTCCGCTTCCAGTGGCCTCTCTGCTCTGGAAAACCTGGCCGGTTCTGAGACCACCAGCACAGGCCCTCACCCCCCACCTCACCTCAGGCCTTCATGTCTCCTCCTTTCACAGTTATTTTCTCTTTCTGGGGTACTTCCTTTACTCAAGTAAATGTTGGCTTTGGTGTCAGCTGCCTGCTCAGTGGAAGGGGCCTTTGGAAATTTCCAGGCCCCGTTCTCTGAGCAGAGGCTCCCAGGCCATCACAGCCACACCCCCACATCCCTCGCCACTGTGCCCTTTCAGGGTGCTCTGGACAGAAATGAAGGCTTTGGGCATAAGGAACACAGCAACCCGGAGTCCTGTCTTGTTCTGTAGGAAACAGCCTCCGTTCTCCCATCTGCAAAACGGAGTGAAGAATCATGGCACCACCCACTCCAGAAGGTCGATGACCTTTGACAGATGGCAGTGATAGCACCCGACACGGAGTGTGTGCAGGGTGACAGGAGACACATCACTTGTGCGTGGCAATGGAGTCCCGACAATCAGTGACTCCCTGCAGGGGCTGTCAGCATCGTGGCACCCAAGGGGCCCTGTGGAGACCCCGGTTGGTGACCAGCCTCCCAGGCTGACCCTCTCCCACTCTTTGATGTGGGCTAAGAGGAGCTCTGCTAGGGTGCTGAGAATGCTGTTTCCGAGCAGGCAGGAAGGGGGAGGTGACATCTGAAATCAAGTGTTGAAGAATAACCTGAGGATGATGCAGATATGTGAAGGCACAGACACAGGAAGCCCAAAGCATGAGGCGTGACTCAGAGAGAGAAGGGCGAGGTCAGGAAAGCCCAGGTCCTGAAAGGCCATGCCAGGAGCCTGAACTCTGTGCTGAGGGCAATGGGCGCCATTAATGCTTCTAGAGGAGCTGCCTCCTAGGCAGAGTTCAGGAAGGGCAGGCCCGGAGACACCTGAGTAGCCAGACAGGGGCCAGGAGAGCCAGATCCAGTTTCACAGGCTCCTCAACCACGAGATGAAGGTTCAGGGGAGGGAGGCAGGGGAGAGCAGGAGGCTGCCTGCCTCCCCAGGAGGCTTCACCCCCAACTCCTTGCGTCCAATCCCACCCGCAGGGATGACCATGGTCTGTCTGGCCAAAGCCCCACAGACGCCATGCTGGCCACTCAGCTTGCTCAGTGTTTTATTGAACCCAGGCCCCAACAGAAGACTCAGCAGGGCCTTGGGGCACAGCGTCCCACATTCTGAGATTCAGAATCCAGGGAGGCTCTGTCCTTGATTTAGCGGCTTTCGTGACAGTTCCTCTTGAATATTTCCAAACCTTAAAGTGTAAAGAATTAGTCCACACAGACAGACACACAGGCTCCTGCCTCAGGCCGTCATGCTCACTGAGCTGATTCCACTCAAGGTTTGTGTGTGCGAGGCCTGTGCACCCACCACCGTCTGTCCGTCCAACCATCCAGCCATCCAGCTGTCCAAGTTCCAACCGCAACAGACAGCAGCAGGTTTTGACCTGTCGGGCCCCAGGGTTCACAGCAGTGGGGTTGGCTTCCAGTGGGCCGCCCTCGCCCACAGGCCCACCCACCTTGGCCCACGGTTACAGCCTTTTCTGAGACCACAGAAGCCAGGGTCAAACAGGTAATTAACACTTGAATCCCAAAGAGTGGAGCCTCAGCCTCAGCAAAGTCCGACAAACACATCAAGCCTGCAATAACACTGAAACAAGAAAGAGTAAGAGCTTATGTTTGTGCTGAAATGTTCACGTGGCGGACAGGAGAGACAGAAAGAAAGGGAAGAGGCAGACACTCGCAGGTGTGCGAAGAGGGCCGCGCCCTGCTGGCCATCCTGGGGGCTGTAGCTCTCCCCCAGCCTCACACATGCAAAGTCCTAAGACAAAAGGGGGCTTTTCTGAATAAGGAAAGACAGAGGGTTCACTCAAACAGGAAGAAAAAAAAAGCAAAAGCTTCTAAAAGCTTCTGCCAATACAAAACACGTCCTTTGAACTGGACTTAATCCAATTCACTAAGTCAACAGGCTGGGCTCTTCAGGGACTGGAGCAGGGTGGGGGCACCAGGATGTGGCATGAGATGGACAGGAGGGAGGGGATCAAGGTCAGGGCCACACCAGGGGACACCCCCAGCTCCTCGCTCCCCTGGATGGTGCCTGGGGCCTCCAGAAGACCCTGTGGGCCGCCTGGCAGCTGGCGCCCTGGCCTGCAGGGCTGAGGAAGACAGGCAGGAGCACAGCTGGTCCTCACTGGTCCTGCAGCCGGCTGCAGAGCTCCCGCCGGCTTCGCTCCCCGGCCCAGCTGCGAGTCTTGAGGCGGAAGGTCCTGAGCTCCTGCCTGAAGGCCTCGTGGTTCATGGGTCGGTAGTTCTGGGGCTCACAGAAGGTCTAGTGCAAGACAGGAGGGGCCAGTTGTACAGGGGGCCCAGCTCTCCCATCATCCTCTTAGGCCCCCGACTCAGGAGGCTTCTCCCTGCATCCAACCCCACCCTCAGTACCGGGTGCTGCGGAAAGAACTCCTTGTAGCCGCCTTTGAGGATGTACATCTCCGGGTAGTAGAGGCTGGGGTAGTCGTTGGCTGCCCGGTCTCGCTCCCTGATGAAGCGGCACCTAGGACCAGCAGGGTGGAGGGTCAGTGTGTCGGGGCCGAGCCCCGACGGCCCTGGGGGCCGCAGCAGGCCTTCCAGCGCAGCCTGAGAGCACAAGGCCAATTTTAGCTTTACTACAGGGTGCGGAAGAAGTTGGAGAGGCAGAAGGAAGGAGTTGGAGAGGCAGAAGGAAGAGAGCAAATCAAGGGCTTGTTTCCAGCTGCGCAACTTTTGTTAAGTCTGTGTATGGCTGAACTGGGAAAGGGGGAGCAGAAAGAGGAAGACGAAAGTTAAGACAAACTTTCAGGAGGATGAGGATGAGACTTGATGGAAGATGAGAGGGAAGGAGAGAGAGGAAAGGACAGAGACAGCCTGGGCAGGCTGGTGCCCTGGCCTGCAGGGGCGAGGAAGACAGGCAGGGGCCTGAACGGGGCAGCAGGGAGGAGGGCTGGGCAGGACCTGGCCCGGTGCCAGCACGTGGAGCCTGGCTGGAGAGCTACTAGCACTCACACTGACCAGGGCGGGGGGCCGTGGGGGGCCTAAGGCCATCAAGCACTGAAGCACTATGTCCATGAGGTCTAGGATTTTAAGCACATGGCTGGAGGCTTGGAAACACTTTGGGCAAGAGGCGGCAAGGGGCAGAGCTGTAGGACCAATGGGAAGGGCAGCGCGCCACAAAGAGGGAAGGGGTGATGTTAACTGTCAGATGAGACTGGGGGCCCAGGCTGAGGGACCTGGGCTGGGCTGGAACTCGGCCACAGCCCTTGATAACTCGGGCAGGGACGTCGGGAGCAGACACTCACATGCGGGGCCCACGCTCAGAGGAGAATTCACAGTGGAAGATGAGGATGAGTCTCTTGTCTGGGTTGCAGGGCGCGATGGGACTCTGTAGCAGGAAGGCCTCAGCATCTCGCTCCAGGGGCAGGTTCACAGCGGTCTGTCGGTGCAGGTTGGGGTCAGCACAGCCCTGCTGTGGGTGGCCACCCCACGCCACGCAGGACCTGCCTTTCAGCAGTGCGACCCCACCTCTCACTAGGCAGGACCCCTCCCCACCAGAGGTGACACCAACACCACGCATTCACCCTCCCGGCAGGGCATGCAAGACTGGGTGAGCGTCCAGGGCTCCCCATCGCCGTCCTCACCTTGATATGGCCACCTTCGTACTCATAGGGGTACCTGCAGTCCACAACCACGAACCTCTCCACGATGTTGCTGAACTTGCCTGTCAGCAGGGCCACCATCTGTAGTGGCCACGGAGGTAAGACCGTGGAGCCAGCCCCGCAGGCAGGGGCTGGCCCCTAGACCCCACTGACCAGCACTCCCACCCCTCCGCACTGCTCCTGAGGATGGCTGGTCCCTGCATACCGTCTCTGGAGAGATGTACTTGAGGTCCTGGTGCTTCCCATCCACGGTCTGCAGCAGGAAAGCCTGAAGGGACGTGAAATGGGTAAGACTAGGGGCCTGCAGAGGAGGGCGTTTCATTCCTGAGCCCAGAGGTCACGTCTGCTTTGACTTTTAATTCAGCTCTGATTCCCCTAGCAACTGAGAGGGGCCTCCTGGGTCTGATCCCCAGGAAACAACCTCGCAGGGGAAACGAAGAGGTGGAGCGTGGAGATGAATGTCCCACTCCTCCGTGGGCCCTGCTCCCGCCCTGTGCCAACCCAAGGAGGCGCCCATCTGGACATCGGCTTGACACCCAGTTGATGTCGAAGGCAGATTTAAGACAGGAGGCCAAGAAAAGCCAGGCGTCCAGGTGTGAGTAAAGGACAGTAAGAGGCACAGGACAAGGGGCTGGGCAGGGGGGAGGGAGGCCCAAGAGCCGCCGCTGGCCGGGGGCCGGTGGAGAGGGAGGGGTCACGCCTCCTCCGTGCCCCATCTGGTACCTTGGAGTAATCCCCGATCAGTTCACGGTGGTCACTGTCCAGGAGGGTCTCGATCTCATCGTGACACAGGGACTTGGAGCGGAGGACACGGGCTTTCTGCGGGCCAGGGCAGACAGTGGCCAGCGTCAGGCACGAGGCTGCCCCCAGCGCTGCTTCGAGCGGGTACATGTACCCTGTGCTCCAACATGGCCAAGGAGGGCTCACAGCGTGGACTCAAAGCGTGGCAGCCTGCCCGCGCAGGGGAAGGGCACTCACGGGCTCCTCGGGCTCGTCCTCCTCCTCTGGAGGGGTCACACTCCTCCTCCGCTTGTTCTGCACGGGCACATCCCTGTCCTGGGGCCGCTCCAGCCTCTTGAGGAGGGGCCGGATCACCCTGCAGGGCATGGACGGAGAGCGGAAGAGCCGCCGGCACTTGCTGTACATGATGAGATCCTGGCAGAGACAGCAGGTTGGGGGGGTCAGAGGGCCCAGCCTGTGCGCCCTCCAGCCCCCCATCCCGCTGGCAGGTACAGCCCACCCTCCAGGTCATGTGGGGGCTGCCAGAGGCCCACCTGCTCCTCTTCCTTTTCCGTGGTCTTGACCAGTGGGGCGCTTATGAGACTCTCTATGCCGGGAGGAACCACATCGTCATCCTGAGGCCAAAACAGCAAGAACACAGTCACACTCACAGGCACGAGGCTGAGTGCTGCAGTGCGGCCGCCGTGTCCTGCCAGCAAACCCTGTATCACCCTACCTGCACCTCCACACAGGGCGGCCCCCAGAACGGAAAGTCGTAGAGCCCCACTTGTCGCTGAGGCTGGCTCGGAACCGGGAGAAGCATGGCCACGCCGGAGACCAGGCAGCCCACTGCCCTGCTCATCCTCCCCTCCCCGGGACCAGCCACCCGCTCCTCTCTGATTGGCCGGAGGTCAGTGTGTGACAGTTACCTCCAGTTCTTCTTCTGACATTGGAATGAGGTCATAGTCTTGCTGCAGGAGCTCAGAGCTTTCCTCCTTAGGGAGATTCCAGGGAGGGAGGGCAGGGGCCTCCTGGAGCGAGGCTGTTTACCTTTAAGTCACTCTCCAGGATGTCCACGAATCCATCGTCTTCCTCAGCAGCATCTTCAGCAGGGGTCGAGGAGAAGGGGCTTTGGGCCATGGGACTCAGCTGTTGTCTTTCCATCTTCTGCTCAGGGGTGACACACTGCGTGGGTGACAAAGTACAGGCTACTCAGAGGTGGATACCCAAGGGGGTCCCCATCCATCCTTCCAAGAAGTCTCCTGCTGCCTTGGGACTCAGAATCACAGGCCCCTTCCCCAGGCTGCCTCAAGGCCCTGCCCAAGCTGCAGGCAAACCTGCCCCACACAGCTCAGATCTCTGTACCATCAGGTCAGGCGCGGAGCTTGGCCTCTGGGCGAAGGCTTCTCTGCGGCTGGCCCACTCAGCCAGCACGTGGTCACAGCTGGGATATGTAGGCATCTTGAAGACAAGTCCATCCTGCAGGCAAATCGGGGATGGGTGACCAAATGCCACCACCACCAAATGCTTCCTGCCCAAACCCCCTCCTCTCCCAGGAAGACTCCCACTCAGGCCTTCTGGAAACGCACATTCTCTTTGTCGTCCCTAGAGCTATGGAGGGCTCGGCCACACGCCTCCCTCTTCTTCCAGTTGTCTCGTGCTTGGGAGTTGGTGATGTTCCGTAACACGGGACTGTGGCCAAGAAGCCTCACCTGGAGAGAGAGGTTGGGCAGCAGGTGCTGAAGGCTGTTTTCCTGTGGCCCCAGCCCAGGCCCTATCCAGCTACCCCTCTCTTCCACACTCCCAGCTGGTCCTTCACCTCCCAAACCCCACCTCCCACCGCCAAACTAGAGCCACTTGACGCCTGCAGTTCACCCTCTGGGTGCCCCTGACCCTTCCCAAGCCTGAGGTCTGTGCCCAACCCCAGTCAGGCCTCACAGGCACCCACCGGCAAAGACTGGAAGCGGCGGAAGGCAAATCGTTCACTGTGGAAGGAAACAGGGATAGGTCAGGACTGGAGAGTTGGGAGCAGGGACTGAGAGCATGCAGGACAGCCCTCTACCACAGAGCCTTGTGCACCCCTATGGAGGGCATGAGAGATCACCCTCCATTTGTATCCCCCCAACATCCGTATCTACCCACACATGGAAGGTTGGAGACTTACTTTCGAATAACGCGGCTGGCTGCTTGGATGGTCTGTTCAAACCTAGGAGGTGGAAAGGTCGCATGCAGCCCAGCTGTGCCTCAGAGCCCACCCCATACCCCCAGTACCAGGGCCCCAGTCCACAAGGCCCAGAGGCCATGACTCAGGCCTTGGAAAGGGGGGTAGAATACGATTAGGGATCCAGGTATTAGGAAGGGAGAGATGAGAACAGGCCAGTCTGAATGGAAAAAGGCTCAGAGAATGTCAGCGGAGACAGCTGAGGCGGGTCACAGGTTCGCTGAGGCATTACCAAGGCAACGGTCTCACCAGCCTGCCCACAGGCCTTCCACCTGTATGCAAATCACCTCAGGGAGGCCATATGGCCACCAGAAAAGGCATCTGAACCGTGGTAACAGGCTACACCCAACAATATGGGTGTCTGCAGCCTGGATGCCAGGAGGTTGGGCTTCCTTCTTTTGTGGGGCTCTGCTGATGACCCCCCCCCAGGCCCTAGGCCAGACTTAATACACCCCAGGTCAGCCCTAGTCTACCAAGCCAGACCCCCTAGTGGCAGATGTGCAGGGTCACATCCTCTCCTCCCTCCTAAGGAATTTTCTAGGACCCAGCCTCTATCCCACCCCCTTCTCTTGCCTTAGAAGAGGCCAGAAGGCAAGGAATTCCAACAGATGTTCCTGTGGAGGCTGGGGCATAAGCGGCAGTCTGCAGGCCCCCACCCCCAGCTAAGTTATCAGAGACCACCTGCCATGCTGGGCTTGTTGCATCTGTGTTGCACACACACACACAAGAGCTTCTTCTGAGAAGCTGTGTAACTGTCGGAGCAGGTGTGGAGGGGGGGGGGCAAGGAGGGCTGAAAGGTCAGGGCAGACCCCAGGGAGGGCATGGCTACAGCCAGCCAACCTGGCACCGAGATGACCAATTTTATTAGCTTGATTTCTGATCTGCACCTGGACCTTGGGGGTAAAACAAGGACAGCTATCTGTTGTCACCAAACAACAACCTGCCCTAGCCTCCACCCTACCCATTTCTCTCCCCGTTTCCTGTTTGTTCACAAACCCTGCACCCCAGCCCAGTCTGATCAAAAGCAAGGGGAGGAAACACACCCAGGACCCTAAACGCAAAGCCCCCGCCCCTCAGCTCAGCCTGTGGATGTCCAGCTGTTCCCACTAATGTCTGGCAGCTGCTCTCACTGCTGTGGCCCTAACAGCTGGAAGGAACAGCTGTGCTCTGAAAGATAAAGCTCCCCCCCCCCAGCCTGCCCCATGACCAAGGAGGAGAGCTCTGTGCTGAGCAGAGCCCCCAGCCCCCTGCACTCCCTCACCGGGGCCTGGGCCAGGGGGTGGTCAGAGCCTCAAGACCACTGAAGCCAGCGGGAACTGATAGGAACGCCAAGGGCCAAAAAGCCCTCGGCAACCGTCTTGTTTAAGTTTTGAATTCATTGAACGATATTTTTAAATTGTGGTATCTCACAGAAAAGTGTACATAGTGGGAAATGTATATAGGTAGAGGGGAAATAGGACATGCAGTGGGGCGACATTCCCACAGGACAAGGGCTGCTGGAGGAGCCCAGGTCCGCAGCCAGCGTCCCCTCCATTCCTGGGCCCGAGTCGCCTCAGCCACTCGGCCAGCAGAGTCCTGTGGGAAGGGCAATCAGTTTCCTCACATTGGGATCTGAGGGGCCTGGCCATTTTCTCAGGTTTCCCTTTCCCATGAGTTTATGCTAGAGCTGGGATCCCCAAAGGGTGGCACCAGTTTCTTGGTAGTGGGGAATCCCTCTTCACTTACGTCTGTTCTGCCACGTGGGGGTCCACAGGGCTGGGGGAATCCATGCCAAGACCTGGGGGGACAGGGTGGCTTGATTTGAAAATAGTGGCCCTTTCTGCACTTTCCCCCATCAGGTCCTAACCCATGCACACACCCCCCACCCCCCACTCCAGGCTAACACACCACTTCCCAAATTGCACAAGACTCTACTCCATTTATACTATGGAAATGCCTACGGAGACTTTCAATTCAAAACTAAGCATGTTTTTTCCTGAATTGGATTAAAAGAATTTGCTCTGAGAGAGAGCAGCTTTTTAAAAGAAAGGGTTGTAACTGAAGACAAGTGCATGTTATACAATGACCAACTTTCCATCCTAATGCCTCCCAGGTGGGGCTGTGAGGCTGCAGGTCAGGGATTTTGGCGCCTGGTTTTAAATATAGGTAAGATCTCATCTCCCTCCTAGGGCCCCACCCTACTGCTGGCTCAGCCGGTCTGGGTTGGGCTTGGTGAGCCCTACCAGGGGGAAGTAGGGGAGGCGCCTGAAGCCAAAGGCCATGAGAGGATGTAGTTTGATGCACACACAGAAACTAGGAGTCTCAGGCAGCCCCCCTAAATTCCCAGGCACCCCTGAGCCTTACCCGCATCAGAAGATTCAGAAGACTCAGATGACAGGGAAGACTCAGACATACATCGGGATAGGCTGCCTGCCTGCCTCTTTGGGGTGTCTCTGGAAAGGAGAAAGGTAAAGGTGGGGATCACGGATTGGATGGTCAGTATTTCCACTAGCCACTATCTTGGAGCGGCCCAACCACTCTGCCCTGCCCCAGGGAGGTGGGTGCAGAGGGGACCAATGCAGGCCTGGTAGAACTTCTCTTTATTGATTGGTTTTTAAAGGGTGCTCCTGGGTGCTGGGGGAAGAGCCCAGGGTGGAGCAAGAGCGGCTGGACACCACCTTGGGGCTGTAGCCCGAGGGTGGGCAGAGCTGAAGAGCTTGCCCTAAACTCCTCAGGTCTCTATCCAGCCAGAAGCCTTCCTAGAGAAAGGACCAGAGCTCAGATCTCCTGCTCTGAGGAAAAGCTCAGACAGAGCCCAGGGAGCTGCACGGATCCAGCCAGTCCCTTCACCCCTGTGCTGCAGCGTGGGTTCTGCCACCCTCAAATTCCCTTTCTAGGCTCAGGATCCCCAGCCCAGGGCAAGATGGTGATTTGGGCAGAGATTAGGTAGCAGCCTGATGGCGGTCCGGTAAGGAAGAAGAGGAGGGCCCCCAGGGGCCCTTGCCGGCCAAGAGCAAGACACTGTCATGAACCCCTGGAGCAGGCGTGGCCTGGGACGCCTCCCGGTTGCTCCCCTGGGGCTCGGTCCCAGTGTCATTCCCCAGGAAGCCTGGGACCAACACCCTAGGACAGGCCTGTTACCCCACACCCCGCCTCTTGGGGCGCCTTACCTGCCCAGCCCGGCGAGGTCGTGCATAGTCTTGGTGAGGGTGGTGACCGGCGAGGAAGCGACCGCGCGTTCCGGGGACCCCAAAGGGCCATGAGCTCCCAGCTGGAGGCCGGGGAGGCGGTCGCGACGCTCGGCGCCGCCGCGCAAGCCGACCGGACTGAGGGTCAAGGCCGGCGCGGGACCCGGCTGCTGCAGCTCCATCAGCGCGAGGTCCGCAGGGGCCGGCCCGCCGCCGGACCCGCACGGCGACGCGACCCCGGCACAGTAGGTGGGGACTGGATGGGAAGTGGGTCCAGGGGAGGGAGGGAGGGAAGGAGGGAGGGAGAGAGCGAGCTGTGGGGCCGGAGCGAGGGAAGCCGGGGAGGAGAGGGAAGCGGGAAGGGTGGGGAGGGGCGGAGGGGCGCGGTGACCAGCCACCGGTCCGAGAAGCCTCTTGGAGCAGCTGCCACTTCCACCTCCTTATATATTCGAAAAATAACAGCGGCCGCGCCGCCGGACGCCACCAATGGGGGCGCAGGTTAGATGAGGGCGGAACCGAGGGCGGGGTCCGCGGGTGAGAGGCGCGGAGACTGGGCCAGCCCGGCCCCGCCCAGTGCTCGGCTTGGGGGGACGCCGAAATTCGGGTTTCTCCCAGGCCCCCCCGCCCCCCGCACCTTCTAGTCGAGGGTCACAAATCCAGAGTTGCACTTCTTGGGCTGTGGTTTGGAGTTACACCCTGCCCCTCCCCCTAGCAGAGAGGGCCCCAGAGGACTCATTAGACCCCCAGGGGGACCTACGCGGGAACCCTCCACTCCCCGCCGCTTGACATCACTCGGAGCCGACGTGGGCACGGTGAGAGGCTCCATTCCTGTAGTTTACCGAGCATACTGCTCTGCACGGTGGGAGTTCGCCTTCACTCGACGACCCAGACGCTGAGGCATGGAAATTCATTAACTGGTTCAAGTTCAAACTGTTGGACCAGTGGTGAAACCGAGGCTCACCTAGGCGCCTCTGCCCGGTAGTCGCCCTGCCCGCGCCTGGCAGCCCCAAAGCACAATTCCCGAGCTGAGCCCCCGCGCAGCCGACGTGAACACGCGGACGCCTCCACAGACCCCAGGTTGGATGTGACCCCCCAAGGGGTCCAATCCCCCCCCC